ATTAGAACGTTTTGTTCTGAACTCTTATTGGACGATTTGCAGGTAACTTCTCTGTACCCTTTTCAAATGTTAGGCTAGATTTCGCCCAGATTATCGAAAAGTATACCCTTAAAGTTTAATCGAATTTTAATAAGGTTGTGCGCGTATTACTATTCGACTTTGAGTGAAACACGCTAAAAAAAAATTAACATGAAAAAGTTGTTGTTCGAACAACTTTTTTTCCTTAAAAGCGCCCACTTTGCGATGTATGAAGAAAAGTTAGGTAATTATATTGCCTTTCATGAGAAAAAATATCAAGCAAATCTGAGGGGTACCATTTTTGGGAAAATGACTTTTAATTTTTAAATATATTTTTTTAGAGTGTAGAAACCGATTTTTTATTTTATTTAAATTTTTTTATAAAATTTCAGATTATTTGCTAAAAGTTCGCCATACATCACTTTTTTGTAGGGCTTGTCATTTTTAAGCTATATCGATTTGAAAAAAAAAATCGACAAAAAACTTTGACCCTTATCAAATGTTAGGCGAGATAAATTTTGAAAAAAATAAGTACGCAAAGTTGCTTAAAATTGCTAAGTCTCCACACCCACAAAGTTCCATAAGGTTCTGAGAGGGTGCTGCCAACCACTGGATGAGTTGGCGTGAAATCCGTCTATGTACCAGACTTATTTCTGGCATTTTCTGAATTTTTACTCATATTTGACATTTCGAAAATAAATTATAATATTCGAAAATCTCTCTGTTATCGATCGTGTGATTTTCGAGGTGTTTGTCAAAATTGATTCCTGGTTTGCCTGAAATAAGTCTGGTAGAATAGCAGGTTTATTTGAAAATGTTCCATCTGTTAAAAAAATATAAGTTAAAGTTCACCAAATGGATTGCAGCCTAAATGTAGGGGGGTTGACATCTGTAGTTTACTCCTAGTCCCACCATCAAATGGCATTTACTAGATAAGATGAGGCTGTGACATAATTAAACAAATAAGCTCTGCAAACAACGCTTTTTGAAAACAATTTTATGAATATGTTACTGGAAAAAATGCAAGAATTAAAAAGGAGAACATTTTCGCGCAAAAGGAGGTTGTAGAACAATTATTGAAAAGGAGGACATGTCCTCCTTTAGGATACCATATGGTAACCCTACCGGCAAGGTGACAGATAACCTTAGTTTCACGTACCCACTTGCAAATAGTAGATGTCGCCACACAACATAAACAAAGGGACTGTCCTTCAGCGCCGCAATGGCATTTCTCTATGGAAATCCAACTTTTTGTTTCTCCATGTGTGGATGTCAAACAACAAGCAAGAGCGAATTTATTATTGGTGAAATGAAATAATCCAAACAAATTGAAACCGATTGATAGAGGTTCATTTTCTTATACAATCAAATGGCAAGAAAAATACTTTGCTAGTTGAATATAATCAGCCTACAGATTTCTTTTTTGATCATAGTGGTGCGATAAAGGCTTGCCATATGAATAAACAAAAGTTTACTTTCCCGTGTTTCTCTATTATTGTGTTCTTGCGTTCTTGTGTATTCTTCTGACATGCAAGACTTCGGAAATTAAATTGAAATTACTCAATAATCACAACAAATATTTCAACGTTGGAAAATATTACGAACGGCTTGAAAATAGAATCCTAATGAGCATGTATGCAGGATGCAGTAAACAATCATCTTGATGAATCAAATAAGTGTCTCACAAAAAAATTATAGTGAGCTTCTAAAATATTTATGATTTTAAGTTAAGTGATTATCTTTTGTTACATCCGTCCGTATCATTAACGTTATTCCTCACCAAACTTGAAGCCTCAAGAAGCAGATATATTTAAATGCTCTATTATTTAGCTTGAAGTGATTGTTAATCAGAATTTTCTAGAATATTAGCTGAAATTGAGCTCTGATGATTTTTGCACATAAGTTATGGTCGCAGATCCGTTGTAGCAAGATATTTAAAATTTAGACAAATTGAACAATATATCGAATATCGAATTAGCTTAAATTCATTAGAGGCCTTCGACACCGTTGTACCAACAATCAATACGAAACTAACGGTTTTAAATTGGCTCACTACTTGACTAGCCTATTGGTCCCAAGCAAACGATTAACGTATCCCATTCTAGTCGGAATTCTAGTACTACGCAATGTTCGTTTTGATTCGCTATGAAAGTTTGACAGATAAAATGAGGGGTTATTGGTTTTTCCTATGTTTCGAGGGGTGAATTGATTAGCTTGGGACCGAAGAAAGTACCAGAGCTGAGCCAAAAAGTTGAGCACGTTATTTCGGAACCTTCTAGTCTTAGAGTTACCTCTATGGTTGTACTATCGTTGAACAATCGTTGTACTATCATTGTACTAACGTTGTACTCTTTTATGTTAGTACCTCAAATTGTGCATTTTGTAGTACTAGCTGCGTATAATTAGTACACTCTTACCATAGAGGTAACTCTAAGACCACTGGGTCCCGAAGAAAATCATTATTATTTTTGGCTCACTCAGTACCAGAACAACGGTTCCAAGCAGTCCCAAGCTATTTCACTCACCCCTGCATGTTCTGCATGAATCCACACACCCCTGATGTTATCTGTCAAACTTTCATAGCGAATCAAAACAAACATAGTGTAGTAACAGAATTTCAACTAGAATAGGGTACGTTAATCGTTTGCTTGGGACCAATAGGCTACTAAAGTGGTGAGCCAATTTAAAATCGTTAGTTTCGTATTGATTGTTGCTCTTACTCGCTGCAAAACCATGCTTTCTTTGTTCATCATCGACGATAATAGCAAAAGCGTTGAAAACACCGAAAGTATCCTTGTTCATTTCTCATTTGTTCCCATTAATTCGATGACAATCATTTATTTTCTTTTACAAATCAAATGTTTAAGCTTTTGGTTCTGTACTGCTCATATACGGTACCCACAAAAAAAAAATATCATAAGCTGCTACTGTATTGTGCATACTACTAGCATCACTGGAGTTCCTATGTCGCTAACATCGCGTGTGCGGTTTGGTGAGCGCGCGACAATAAGATGAATTTTAAACTTTAATTTTGTTTACTGTACATCATTTCCGCATTCGCCCTTTTAAGATAACATTTCTGAAATTTGTGAGTTTGACAGAACCACCAGCACCAAATTTTCGGGGTACACTGGCAATATACCGGAGCTGTCAAATTGCCCCCGAGTTGACGTCACCATAATTGGATAGGGGAAAGTTTCCCCTACACGTTGATAGTGTTGGTTTGCGTGTGCGGCCTTTTGAAAATTTCACAATCCATTCCATCACCTTGGAACATACACTAATCTTAATTTCAACAACTCTTCCTTTGATGTTTAATTTTTATTCCTTTGTTCCAACTTTGTTTAGAAAACACAACTAGCTGTTGTACTCGCTCCTGTAACGATTTGTTCGTTGCTATAGCACAACCAATAATGTCGGTAGTGTTAGCGGATATTTTGAACACATTGGAAGCGGAAATTTGTCCTTATTTCATTAAATTTCCAACCGAAGAAGAAATCCTCATAAATTTCGAGTCACTTTTTTGTCACTTGATGACGAGTCACGTCACTGGAGCGATTACGAGTGTCACTTTTTGTCACTTATTCACGAGAGTCACGTCAACGGAGCGATTATGAGCGTCACTTTTTTTGTCACTTTTCTGTCACGGTGACAAGAAAGTAAGGTGACGTGACGGTGATAATAGAACCCAATACCCTTAGGTTATTGGTGGCAAACATGATTTAATGAAGTGACCGACAACTGAATGTGAAACACTACACCAAGTCGAACTCCTTTAAATAAATATTTTCTCTTATATTATTTTTTCGATATCCATTTATTTTATTAAAATCTCTTGGTACTGGTATTACCGGCAGGGGTTGAAACAGTTGACGTTTTTTACTACACTCACTTCGTTGTCGTGCGCGACAGTCTGTTTGTATTCGTACACTCATGTTCTACCGTCGTCTCTCTCACTCAACACAAACGGTAGAATAACATTCGAGCAAAAAGAAAATTATCAAATAACTATTATATGACATGTGTGATTTCGTTCTAGTTCCTCAATTTGGTGTAAGTTAAACCATTTCTGATCTGAAATCTTATTACTAGGACATCATTGCTTGCAATTTTCAGAATTCACACAAGCACAACATCAGCAGCTCTTTTTATGAGACAAACTAAAATACATACATTGGTGACGATTATGACAGAGCCTGTCATATGACATTTTAGTTTGGTACTGTACTATGATAGCTTGTTTTGCAAGTGTTGAAGGCAAAGGCAATCGATTATCATAGAAAATGTGTCGACTACCGTGACCGCTTACAAGACTGATTACCTGTACTGATTTTCTCGGTACCGAAATACCGATACTCGCAAAAAGGGTTCTTGGCTGACACCCCTACTACGCACGTGTTCATTAGAGTGGGCTCCGTGAATCAATCACTCCATCATCCATATGCGGGAACATATGATGTGGTACAGCGAACTGATAAATATATGGATGTGGTCATATCTGATACTGAGAAGATTCAAAGAATCTTGATTGACTGGATTTAGCCTGTTTTTATATGCAATCCACATTTGGGACACCATCCTTCAGACGATCAGCGAACTAAATTTACACTTTACTCATACGCATATTTCGTCCACTTATCTACTCTACTCGTAGACTCTACTCACTCTACTGAAAGCTGAATCAGAGCTTATTCAGGCAAAAATTTGCTTCTTTAGCTAAGAATGAGCTTATTCAATCGGCTTAAATTAAATTAAATTGTTTGTTGGGTAGTACCTGTGAACTGTTAGTATTTGATATCGCTTTGACTTTGGAAATGTCATGGGTAATTTTTCGCAACGAATCGGAAGACTAAACCTGTGACCGGTGGGACGTGACCTCCGGTTACCTAATTTAATAGGGTTTAAGAACAACTTCACTTGCTTTTATATGTTTTCATACTAACTTTTGATAATCAACCGTCTGCGCATCTCGCTTATTTCAGGAGGACAGCATTAGCTACAAGAGCGCCCACAAGCTGGAAAAATTCTTCGAGCAACAGCTGGCCAAGTGGCTCCCGAAGTATTTGGAAACCGAAAGCTTCGAAGACTACCTGCAGAACCCTGCCAAGCGCATCAAGAGCCTTCAAGAGGATTAACAATCAATGCCTGGCGGCATTGAACAACCGCAGGCGTCGCATCAACAATCTCCTCAACAGCAGCAGCAGCATTTTTTTCAGCCACAAAATATGCACCAATCAGAACAGCAACAGCAACAGAAATTTCAATCCCCTGGATCCAGCGATGGATCCAGGGTCCACGACGGTACAAGTAGCTGTAGCAACAGCACCATCATCACCACCACCACCACCTCCAGCACCATCATCACAACAGCAATCACAACGGCTGCCACCACAGCAGCTGCAGCAGGAGCTGACGACGGTCGAGCCCAGCAGCAGCAAGATGGGAGGCCTCGTTCAAGGGAGGGAAAAACGAGTGCGCAAGATGCGAATGGAGGTAGACTGGACACTGCTGCTGCTGCCGCCGTCGCCGAAGAGTCGAAAGAAGCGGAAACCGGTGCTTAAGCGAAAACTGAAGAAGCCACCAGAGCCATCGCCTCCAAAACAGCAGACGAATGAGAGAAAGTTGCCCAAAAAAGCAACCACTTACAAACAACAATTGTAACATAGAACTGAATAGTAAGTTGTAGGTATGCAGTGCGAGTCGAAGAGCGAATGTGTGTAGCTGTTTGGCTTCGTATGTTAGTTGGCATGAATCAAAAGAATACTTTTTGTTTTTGTGGAAAAGGTTTTCACAGAGATAAACAAAGATGTGTAAATATTAGTTACCTAAGGCTATTTGGATAATATATATAACGCAGTAACGACATTCTATAAGATGGATGAAAAACCATAATACACGCAATCTCAATCGAACAAAGCAAAATTTAAGATCAAATCTGGGCTGTTTCGCTGTTATTTAGTGTACCTATTTCGAACGATCGAGCATTCGAAAGCAAAATTGGTAATTGTAAGTTCGTTGCTGATTTAATATGGCGTGCAGATGGTCGATTGTGCTGCATTCCTTGCGGCTTTATTGGATAATTTTAATTCTCATTTACGACTCTATTATTTATTACGTCACTCACCATTTAGGTTATATGATTTATTCTAAACGTTCTTCATTTAAGTTGACAACTATTACTGATCTAACCGAGAGTGTGCTACACTAATGGACAAACCTAGAGTTTTGTGAATAGAAATTATGGATGGAAAAAAACAAACAAACAAACAAACACGTAAATACTTGTGAAAGTCGGAAAAATCCGTCAACCATTAAGCAGTTATTATTAGTAGGTAGTGCATAGATCTTTTTCGAATGCTAACAAATAATTGGGCACTCTTGAACTGAGAAATTATGCGCCAATCGGACTGCCGATTGGCAAGGGACAAAGTTTGATTCAGTAGCAATTAACTTCTACGTAGAGCAAAGACTACCGAGTAACGAAATAAGTTTTCCTTCCCCCATTGAAACATGTAAAAAAGATACTATTTCGCTCCTGTAAACCGTAGTGAGTACTCATAGTTTTCGTAGAGATTGATTGCCCTCTCTCTCTCTCTCTTCTATCATCAGTAGTTTATCTATTATCCTAGTTAAGGAAAGCGAGCTTTCTTCCGAGACAGTAAACCAGTATGATTTATTTTTTATTGTATACGAGCAAAGTAAGTAACTGTAAAGAAAAAGGGAGACGACTGACAAGTTGATATGCTGCAGCAGTCTGAATAGCGACGAGCCGGGCAAAGGCTTCTGCTCCCTTTCTTCCCTCCCATGACAGCAGCGAGCAACAAACTGCTATTCACAACTCACTGAGTATTGAACTCTTATTTGGAGAACAAAAACAAACAAAAAGTAAAACCTTGTAGAAAGATACACATACACAAAAAGAAAACCCAATGGAGAACAAAATAAAACACGTAAAACTCAAATTGTAATCGAAATCGAGTACCATCCTTTTGCCTCGTGCCCGCGAAGCGAAATCCGAAATGTTTGTCCCTGCAGTAGGTAGGCACCCAATCTAATTGTACGTCCGACGACGATTGCCGGAAAAACAAGTTAGGAGGGAAGGAATTGCTCTGATTGTCGGCGGAAAAATAATGTCATTGCCCTAGTTTTCTCCCTTGTCGTCATCGGCGTCGTGCCAATCACGTTTTGCCCTTCCCGTCTCGATTTTATTCCTTTGTTTGGGTGTTGTTGACCGACACCAATGATGAGAGATGGAAATTTCCTGATATCACAAATTCGGCGCCCTTGCGGAGGCATATACATGCGATACTTTTTCGCACAGACGGAGGGGGAAAGTTCCCTCGCTGTTGATTGCGAATTGGGATGAATTCCCTGCATGCTTGGTTAGAGTCGGAATATGTGGGTAGTAAACAGTTGATCATTCTATCTGTTCTTGACGATGATTGCAGGACTAGCGGGGGGTGCTATGCTGCTTCGAGCAGCGAAGAATTTGAAGAGAATACGTTAATTGCTTTCGTGTCTTTGTGCCTGCTGACCCACTTTTTTTTTTCTTATTGCGTGTTATTATTAAATGCTTTCGTGACTGATTTAATACTCTCAAAGTGCTAGATTGTATTGTTTTCGCTCCAAATCTGTACGATGGTAACTATTTTCTTTACTGAAGTGCTGCTTTCACTTTATTTATTAATCTTGAAGGTATTTTCTAATATTTTTGGATACTAATTTTTAAATAAAAAGTACCCATTAAAATGTGAAAGATCGTTACTGCGGAAATTTCCCTTATTTACAATCTAGTAAACTGCCAATAATATCAGTCCCATATGACTTCTCGTCGTTTTTGAGTTAGAAGTCCAATTTAAGTAAAAATTCACCAAATGGAACACAGCCTTAATAACTTGAGCACAGAATCGTTTGTGTTTGTCGTATTAGATGCTAGATAAAAACTTCTTTGAAAATACCTGGGCCGAGTGAATTCAAGGAGAAAGTCGACGAAGAGAATCTTGTTAGTGTTACTTAGGACCTAATGCAATGTTCAGCTTGAAATGTTTCGCTTAGCTGTAGCAATGTAAACAGATAATCGATGAAGAGAATCAAACATTACAAGTAGGCCCTTTTGAACGCTCACTGTCGAATTTCAGAACTTAGCACTGAAAAAACTTTTTTTTTTTTTTTTCGACTTAAATGATCTATATTTCTTGAATTTGTGTGGTTTACATGTATAACTTATCAAGTCAGATGCGTCTTTTCAACTTTAGTTCCTGTGAAATTTCAATTATTATTAATTACAGTTCCTAGTCCTATCAGGCCTGTTTTAGAGAATGACCACCTTGGTGGGATTGGTTTGTTTGAAAATTTGAAAAAGGAGACTACTTATAACTACTATTTACAACTACAACTAACCTACAACTACTATGTACACCTAACCTACTATATACAAATTGCTTATCAAAGCATGTTCTGATAAATTACATTTTTGTGCAAATTTAGTCTTAATTTCGTTAATTTTGGAATCTATTTTGGCAATGCCTGCCTCTTCATGTAAATTTGTTATTCTAGTGTCGAAAGGACGATCAAGAACCATCCTCAGCACTCTATTCTGAGCGACCTGAATTTTGTTCCTGTGAGTCTGTGCACATGATTCCCACACCGGAGCTGCGTAGAGGATCGCAGGTGCTATGATTTGTTTGTAGACGGCCAGTTTGTTCACCCTTGAGAGGCGGGATCTGCGGCAAATCAGCGGAAACAGACACCTAACCAAGGTAGAACACTTGACTACTGTTTTCTCTACATGCGAACGGAAGAGGAGCTTTTCATCGAACAACATCCCGAGATAGGTAACTTCGGTAGACCACTCAACCCTTGTGCCATCCATGATTAGATTACAGTACAAGATGGAGCCGGTTTCAGTTTGGGCGATTGCCGATGGAGGATCATGATCGCTTGTGTTTTGGTGGTATTGATTTTGATTTTCCACGTGGTGGCATAATCAGCAAAGGCGTTAAGGCATCGTTGAAGTTTGTTCGTTATTTCGCGAGGCATCCTTCCTTTGACGGCTATTGCGGTATCATCTGCGAACAGGAAAAACACGCAACCGTCTCCAAGGGGAGGAATGTCGGAAGTGTAAATGCTGTAAAGCAAGGGGCCCAGCAGACTACCTTGCGGGACTCCTGCTGGGATCGAAAACGTGTCTGAGAGACAACCATTCAACGATACCTTAAACGACCTTTGCTGGAGGTAGTTACGGGTGATTTTAATAAGATGTAAAGGAAAGTTGAAGTTACAAAGCTTGTACACAAGTCCATCATGCCAAACATTGTCAAACGCCTTTTCAACGTCTAACAAGGCCATGGCTGTGGACTTGGATACAGCTTTGTTACTTCGGATGTTATTCATCACCCGTACTAGCTGATGATTGGTGGAGTGCCCCTTTCTGAATCCAAACTGTTCCGGAAGGAGAATGTTGTTTTCCTCGACAAACTTGAGCAAACGATTGAGAATGAGTTTCTCGAACAATTTGCTCAGCGCTGAAAGGAGGCTGATTGGTCTGTAGCTTGAAGACAATGTTGGATCCTTACCGGGTTTGCGGATCGGTATGATTTTTGCTACTTTCCAGATGCTTGGAAAGTAGTGCAGTTCCAAACATCTGTTGAAGATAGCGGTTAGAAGAGACTGCACTTTCATGCTGAGTCTCTTCAAGATCAAGTTGAATATACCGTCAAACCCGGGAGCCTTCATGTTCTTGGTGCATTTCAGCGCTGAGCAAATTTGTTGTACTGTAATCATATCCGCCGGAGGCACGACACAGGGGGAGGTATCTAGGTTTTGAACGCATTGCGCAACCTGATCATCGAGCGGACTTTGGATAGTCGAGCCAAGCAAATGCGATGAAGCGACATGCTTGCCGATCGCATTTGCTTTCTCCTGTGGGGTAATTAAAAGCCGATCGTCATCATTTTCGACTTTGAGAGGTGGAACGGGTTTGGGATGATTTTTAAGGACCTTGGCTACCTTCCAGAATGGTCTGGAGCGGTCATCCAGATTCTGGACAACACGCCCGAAACTTTCATTTCGGAGTGAGTCCATTCTGGAAGCAATCTGCCTATTCAGATCGGCCATTTCACGTTTTTTGCCCAGATCTCCAGTCCTCTGAAACTGGCGTCTACGAACATTTCTCAACCGAATCAGTAATTGGGTGTGGGAATCAATAGCAACAAACTTACCCCTCACAGGAACTTGTCGAACGTATGCCTCGTCAGCCATGGATATGGCCTGTTGGAGCCCTTCCAACGTCCGGTCGATGTCATCTACGGTGTTGAGTAGTGGATTTTCATCGATGTTGCTGTCCACCATTCGTCCGTACTGCACCCAGTTGACATGGTGGTAGTCTTTACGCAGGCAGCTTCTAGCAGGAACCACATTGACACCGACTTCAGTCACCACCGGTTGGTGGTCGGAGCTGAGATCGTTGTGCGCCTCCGGCTTGGATAGTCCGATGTTTGACAGGAAAAAGTCTAGCGTGGAGGGATTTCCCGCCGGAGAGATGAAAGTTGGTTCGTCCGGAAATTGCACTGTGTACAGTCCATGTTGTGCGTGGTCGAACAATAGACATCCGTTTCGGTTCCTCTGGTAGTTCCGCCAAGCTTCATGGCGGGCGTTCAGGTCGCCCCCAACGATGAATCGGGAGCTAGTACGGGTGATGGCGGTCAGGTCCTTCTTAAATTGGATTCCTAATCCGTTGCTTGTGGTACACTGGCGTGGGCAGTAAACAGCGATGAACCGGACGTTTCCAGTTGGTGATTCCACCTCCACACTAATGGCCTCGATGATAGAAGTGCGGATGTGGGGCAGAGTGCAAAACTTGATTCCCTTTCTGACGATGACCGCTACACCACCCCCCCCTGGAGCTGGTGCGATCAAGCCGGATAATGTTGTGGTCAGGCAACCAGAAGCTGTCACCGAACTTTAGGTGGGTCTCGGTTAGAAGAACCACGTCGATGCTATGCTTGCGGAGGAAGTCGGCAAGCTCAATCTGTTTTGCTCTTACAGAGCAAGCGTTCCAAGTAGCGATGGTTAGCGGTTTAGACGCCATACTGGATGATGAACTTACCGAGCACTTGGATCTGTTCGGGCTTATTGCGGCACTTACGTAGAGCACCGGTCATGTTGACGAAAATTTCCACCAGTTCATCCGCTGAAAACAGATCGGGGTTGTTGTTTTGCGCTGGTGGTTGTCTCCAGAATCCAGGGGGGGATGGAGAGCTTTGGCCAGCAGAATCACCAGAAGTTGCTTGAGCGGAATGCACCCGCGAATTTGCTTGCCTTTGCTGAGGAGCACGAAGAGGCGGGAAATCCTCCGTCCGAAATGCCGGGACTTTGTCCTTCTTGCGTCCTGGTTGGTTGTTAACTGCCGCCTGTTTTCGGATGCGTTTGAAGTCCTCGCGTTTGGAGCACTGTCTGTCGGAACCTTGGTGAGCACCACCACAGTTGGCGCATTTTAACGCCACGGCTTCATCCGCAGGGCAGTCGGAAGTGGCGTGGTCTTGAGCGCAATTGCCGCAGCGTGGCTTAATGTTACAGTTCCGGGTGCCGTGTCCAAAGTTCAGACACCGTTGGCACTGAGTCACATCGCGATGGCCGCCACGGTATGGCTCCCAGCGGACGATGATGCAATTAATGGAGCGGATGGCTTTCAGCGCGTTGAGCGTCACCGTTCCCTTCTGGAAGTGTACCAGGAAAAGGCAATCCGGATACGCCTTCACATTCTCGTCTCTTCTTGTCATCCGATAGACGGCACTTGGGGCCAGCTTGTACCGGTCCCTGATTTCAGCTTCGATAAACTTCGGGTCGAAGTTTGGTAGGCCCCTGATGACGACCTTGAATGGTTTCTCACCGGGAATGTCGTGGGTGAAGAATTCCACCTTGGAA